TCGATTCGTACAAATTTCTCAGCAGCAGTCTCGATAAATTAGCTTCCTTCTTTGACAAAGACAAGTTAAAAATTTTACATTCTGAATTTCCAAAATTATCTGATTTATTGACGCGAAAGGATGGCTTTCCATACGAATACGTGGATTGCGTGGATAAGCTGCAGGATGTATGTTTACCGCCGCGAGAATCGTTTTACAGTTCGTTGACGGGCGATACGTTATCCGAGAGCGATTACGTGTACGGTGCAAACGTCTGGCAACGATTCAAACTTTGGGCGAATACAGCGATTTGTACCTGAAGACTAATGTCTTGTTATTGGCCGATATTTTTGAAAATTTTCGCGACAGCTATATAGCAAGTTATGGATTAGATCCTGCGTATTATTATACTTTGCCAGATTTTACATAGGATGCAATGCTGAAACATACCGGCATAAATTTTAAATTGCTCACTGACATTGATATACTCATGTTCATCGAACGCGGTATACGTAGTGGGTTGAATAAATGTTCCGATAGATACGCGCAAGCCAATAACAAGTACATTACGTTCCATCGAAATTGTCGTCGTACATGATGTACTTTGACGTAAACAACTTGTACGGATAGGCAATGTGTCAACCGCTGCCTTACACTGAATTTCAATGGGTTTCAGACTTTTTAAAATTTGATATATCTTCAAACGCTATCGATTCGCCCGTAGGTTATATTCTCGAGGTTGACTTGGAGTATCCGGAAGATTTATATGACGCACACGCTGACCTACCGTTTTGCCCAACACGTGATAAACCACCCGGCAAAAGACAGGAAAAACTTCTTGCGACGCTATACAATAAATAACGTTATGTTATTCATTATCGCAATCTGCAGCAGTGCATGCGTCATGGTCTTCGTATCGTGAAGATATACCGCGTGCTTCAATTTGCTCAATCTCCATGGCTCCGCGATTATATCGAATTAAACACACAATTTAGAACGCGTGCAACTAATGATTTTGAGAAAAATTTGTACAAATTGATGAACAATGCGGTATTCGGCAAAACGATGGAAAATGTTCGCAATCAGAAAACTAGATGTAAAACTATTGACAAAATGGGATGGAAGGTACGGTGCTGAGACAATGATCGCAAAACCAAATTTTCATAGTAGAAGCGTTTTCGCTGAAAATTTAGTTGCCGTTGAATTGCGCAAACTCGAGATGAAATTTAACAAGCCAATCTATGTGGGTATGTGCATACTCGATATATCAAAGGTTTGTTTGTATGAATTTCATTACGAGTACATGTATCCTCTGTATCACGACAAATGTAAAATAATGTACACTGACACTGACAGTCTCATTTACAACATCAAATGCGATGATGTATACGAGCACATGAAACGTGATATTGCAAGGTTTAATACGAGTGATTATCCCGCTGACAACGAGTACGGTATACCGCTTGTATAATAAATAAGAAAGTTCCGGGCTTGATGAAAGACGAAAACAATGGAGCGATAATGATGGAATTCGTCGGTCTCAGAGCGAAGATGTACGCGTTGAGAGTGAACGGTAAAAGAAATACAAAAAAGGCGTTAAGGGTAATGTCGTAGCGCGAACGATAACTTTTAACGATTATACACAATGTTTAAAAGAGGAGATTGAAACGACTCGCCAATAATCATGCATTAGATCAAAATTGCACGAAGTGTACATAGTGTCCAAAACGAAAATCGCTCTGAGTCCGTACGATGACAAGCGATATATCGTACCAGAATCAATCGATACGTTACTATGGAGACATTATCGTATACCGCTGTAAAATGTATATTAGGATGC